GATAACTATCTCTGGGGTACCAGGAAGAAAACACAGAAGCATGAAATCATTAATAATGTACTTTCTTAATTGCAGCATCTTCAGAGAGCACTGTTGAACAAGAGTTGGGGAATAAAAAAAAAAAACAGTTATTTTTAAAACTGGTATTTTTAAAAGTACTGTCACTTAACATTGCTTCCTGCTGGTACTTTGTTAGATGAAGCATAGAAATCATAAATAACATTACTTAAATTGTAATGGGGAGAGAGAGACAGAGAGAGGGAGAGAATCACAATCACAATGTGGAGGAGAAATAAGTCACTGTACAGTGAGTAAATTGAATGCATTTATGCAGAAATCTGCCAGGCAGACGACAGCATTTGCAGGAATTGGTTCATCAGATAAGCACTGACACTTGGAATCTTTGCTTTCCAGGTTTGCACTGTGAATTTGGGCCTTGTAAGGCTAGCAACCCTTGTGAGAATGGAGCTGCATTTAGCAAGAAAACAGATCTGGAAATATTTCCCCTTAGGTTCCAATGCCAATGTGAGAAAAGCTTTGCAGTTTCACCCTGTGAGATCAGTGTCAATGAATGCAGTTCCAGCACTTACCTGTACAGATACTGCTGTGACTGAGTTCACTCAGCTACTGTTGTAATATTTTCAGAGCAATCTAATTTAAAACATGACATAACAATAGGAAGGTCCATATATATGAACATAGCCCCTCTTGAACATCAAAGTCAATGTCAGCAGTACTAGGTACCGCTCTTCTGACTAATTTATTTACATTCTTGTTCATTAAGAAGTCAAACAACAACAAGTGCTGGCGAGGATGTGGGGAAAAGGGTACACTTGTACATTGCTGGTGGGACTGCAGATCGGTGCAGCCAATTTGGAAAGCAGTATGGAGATTTCTTGGAAAGTTGGGAATGGAGCCACCATTTGACCCAGCTATTCCCCTTCTTGGTCTATTCCCTAAAGACCTAAAAAGGGCATGCTACAGGGACACTGCTACATCGATGTTCATAGCAGCACAGTTCACAATAGCAAGACTGTGGAACCAACCTAGATGCCCTTCAATAGATGAATGGATAAAAAAAATGTGGCATTTATACACAATGGAGTATTACTCTGCATTAAAAAATGACAAAATCATAGAATTTGCTGGGAAATGGATGGCATTAGAGCAGATTATGCTAAGTGAAGCTAGCCAATCCCTAAAAATCAAATGCCAAATGTCTTCTTTGATATAAGGAGTGTAACTAAGAACAGAGTAGGGATGAAGAGAAGGAGAAGAAGATTAACATTTAACAGGGATGAGAGGTGGGAGGGAAAGGGAGAGAGAAGGGAAATTGCATGGTAATGGAAGGAGACCCTCAGGGTTATACAGTGGAGGAGGTAGAGAGAGAGGAGGGGAGGGGAGGGGAGAGGTGGGGAGGGGGGAGGGTGGAGGACGGGAAAGGCAGCGGAGCACAACAGACACTAGTATGGCAATATGTAAATCAATGGATGTGTAACTGATGTGATTCTGCAATCTGGGTATGGGGTGAAGGTGGGAGTTCATAACCCACTTGAATCAAAGTGTGGAATATGATATGTCAAGAAATTTGTAATGTTTTGAACAACCCACAATAAAAAATTAAAAAAAAAAAGGCAATAACACAAAAAAAAAAAAAGTTTGACCTAACAATGCAGAGACAATCACTTCTCAGATCTATGTTCTCAGACAGAATGTTTCTGTCTTTCTGATAGTACTGAATATTCACAAAGGTCAGCAGATTCTGCCCCTTCCCCTGAGCTCTGTTGTGATACGAAGTTATGTCTTTGGTTGCTCTGCCCAGACAGAATGCTGATCATGGTAAAGCTATCACCAAGCCTTAGAACTTCTTTGTCTCTTACATAATATCTAATTTAGGAAAATACTATATTCTTCAATGATAGTAATATGCGGTGATTTCCACATAGAAAAAAACATAAAAAAAAAAAAAAGAAAATGAAGGATGCAGCTATTATGTTCTGGTTATCAGAATTAACTATTTTTGCAATTTATTTTAAACTGTAGATTATTAAAGGTAGTTATTTATAGTCATGGGAAAGTGTTATTTTTAAATGATATTTAAAATTATTATTTTAGCTCATAGCTCATCTCTCTCTCTCTCTCATGCACACACACACACATACACACGTGTGCGTGCGCACACACACACAATCACACACTTCTTCCTGATGAAATAATATAAATTCATAGAGGGAAAGAATAAGGAAGAAAAGAAAAATATGTAAGCATATAGAGAAAAAAGAGGAAAAACAAGAGACAGAATATTTAAACACTGATTTTTATGTGGGATGACCTATTTCATTTTTTGTTGAGACTCAGGAAAAACTACATAAAATGACATTGCAGGGGGATGTAACTAAGGGGTATGATAAGGAAAACAGGTGAACTAAGAGTCCACCTTCTTTTGCCTTATCTTACCTCCTTTGAATATGTTTTTACATAATCCTTTGGTCAATGTGTAAATAGTGAAAATAATGTAAAAACTCATTTCAATAGAAGGTCATTTACATAATATTTATAAACAAAACTAATATAAATCCATGACTAAATTTTCTAGTATAAATCAAGAACAAATAGAGTGAGATAATATGCTTAAAATATCTCAATAAAATTGTTATTAATTGTCATAAAGTCATGTAATTCATAAATTGTGTAGGGAAAAAATACCCTTTTATTTCTTTACTTTAAGTACTTAAACAATTATTTTTTGTGACGTCCATTTTTTCCTGTGGATCTAATTTAATAACCCAGGTTTTCTTCTGGTACATTGTTCATTTGTTATCTTTTTAGCCAAAAATGATCAACATTTTTATGTAAAATAAAAACAATTTATTTTTAACAATTTCTGTCTTTCAGATTCTTTGATAATTCAAAGTTACCTCTTTTTTGTTACTTTCCTTTAAAAATAATTTATCACTCATCTATTTAGTTATAAACAACTATGATAAAAGTTAATTTGAGTCTTTTTGTTTGTTATTTACTAATATGCATTAGTGTCCAAACCTGAATTCTAATTATAAACATATTTTAATTATCATTATGATTGATGGTATTTCACAATGTCTTACTGACATATTATATGGCACACAGTTTTAATTTAATTTATTATTATACATAATTCCATCTATAACATACAAAGAAGCATTAATTGGCATTTTTATCACAATGATTTATTTAAAACTACACTTATTTTTTGAATCATTTGCATTAAAAATAAATGCTCCATGAAACTATAAGTAAAACAGAAGTAAATTTTGTCTAAAGGCTACTAATTCTGTGTGTCTCCCTTTTCTCTTGTTATTGGCTGGGCTGCCTTGTTCTTCTTAGAAGCCATAGTTGTACATGCTTACTGAGGCACAGCTACAGAAATCAAGATGCTAATAATGTCTATCACATTCCACCATTATTTCTAACCCCATGCCCCCTCCCTTTGCCTCAAACCTCTCTGCCCTATCTAGAGTTCATCTATTCCTCCCATGCTCCCTCTCCCTATCCCATTATTAATCAGCTTCCTTATATCAAAGGGTTATTAGACATTTAGCATTTGTTTTTTGGGGGGATTAGCTAACTTCACTTAGCATTATCTTCTCTAACTCCATCATTTACTTGCAAATGCCATGATTTTATTCTCTTTTATTGCTGAGGAATATTCCATTGTGTATATATGCCACAATTTTTTTATCGATTCATCTATTGAATGGCATCTAGGTTGGTTCCACAGTTTAGCAATTGTGAATTGTGCTGCTATAAACATTGATGTGGCTGTGTCCCTGTAGTATGCTGTTTTTAAGGACATTAAGAAGGAAACAAAATTATGTTCAGAGAATTTGTACAAACTCAGATTTACATATTTTCAAAAATATAAAGACCAAGATGCTGGTTCACACTAGCAGAGACCAGAAACATAACAAATCCCTATGTGGGATCCTGGTTTGGATCCCGAAACAGAAAAAGGACACTAATGGAAAAACTGGGGAAATTCAAGAAGCGTTAAAGATTAGCTAATAATATTGTACCAGTATTGATTTCTCCCTTTGGATAACTCTGCTATGTTTATCAAAGATGTTAACATTAGAGGAAACCAGATAAAGAATGTACAAAATTTTCCTATTAAATAAAAGAAGAAGAAGAAGAAGAAAGAAAGAAATCAAGATGCTGCTTAAATTCTGCACATTGCATTGAAAATTCTGTTGCCACCTAGGACCTAAGCATTCAATGAGAGTAATAGCAGGTACATATGCAGAGGCAGAGTGGGAATGTAGATACATGGTGAATCCTGGAGATAATGAAGGACCCAGGGACTGTCTACAAGTAACTATTAAGTCCATTCTTGCTCCAATGACAATTCATGCTGTCACCATTTCCCTGAAACGTTTCAGATACTGTTTTTTTTTCATCGTTAATGATAATTTAATTATTTAAAAATAGTATACTTACATGTGAAAGCTCTTTTTTTAAACTAAGGGTTAAGTAGATAAATATTAGCTTTCAGACCACTATTTGAAACTTACTTTGCAATTCATTTTCTACCCACAGAACTTTAACAACAAGTTAACTTGTATATTAAACCTAAAACAAACTAGGAAAGTTCATTGATGCAGACATTAGCTACTAATTATGTTTTGTGTGCTGCCAAAAAGACTGAGAGTGTGAGAAAAATGGATATCATATATATATCAAACTGTTATCAAATGTCCATTGTAATCTTTCTTATTTCAAATAATTAAAGTTTTTTAAGTCAATAGAACTGAACAAGGTAGCAGTGTAGGAGATACTGTAGATCAGTGTGATAGAATATTAAATATAGAAATGTGTAATAGAGTATTAAAAATAGGAATTCACACTTTATTGGTTTAAAGGTGAAATGCATAGCCGATTACAACATTTTAAGAGTAATTTACATTACTGTATCTGTACTATGATTAAAAGAATATAAAATAGTTTTCTCTTCTTTGTTTCAGCGCTTGGTGGCTTTTCCTGCTTATGCAACTCAAGTTATGCTGGACAAAGCTGTGAGTGGGACACTGATGACTGCATCCTGAATGTCTGTGAGCAAAATTCCACCCGCAAAGATCTGCATCTTGTTAGTATCCATTGGTCTTATTAATATATCTTAATGAAGAATAGCATAATTTAACCCCTACAAATTTAACCCCTACAAAAGTAAACTTTTGCTCTATGGTATGTCCACATTTGAATACACCTACACATATTTTTTTAAGGTTAGGAAACAGAAAATCAAACAATATTATTTTTAACTTCACTGTTTTAAAATATTTACTCTATGCCAGTTGGTATACATACTATATGAAAAATAGATTCATAGCTATCAATGATTACTGCATTTGTATAAATTTTCAGAAATTCTTCTAAAAGTGCTATAAGTCTCACAGTCATTTTTTTTTTTTTTTGCCTAACTTGAGGTACTAAATTCACATACATACATTCACTGTCATTCACTATCTTAACTTTTGCTGTGATTTCCATCGTGTATTGAATACTCCATCATTTCCTTCATTCATCTGTACTAGTGCTGTCCCTTCTGTACATATCCATTTGTCATAGCCTTTGTCACAAGCATGTGCCATTCTGCCTTAAATGAACTGTGACACAGTTGGCAAATCAATGGGATCCCCTCAGGCTCCTCATTTCTCAGAAAGCCTGACATAAAACACATCTACTCAAGGTGGACTCACTTATTCACAGGCCTCAGAAAATAAATGACATACAACAAAAGCTAATGCTACAACACTGGTATAGGCTTATACTTTATTCTTTAGCAACAGAACCAATTTCTACAAAAAGACTACAGTAGTTGAAGTTAGAAAGCAAGTCTTTCAAAAACAAATGTTTTCATCAAAATATTTTGACTATCATCAAGGGTCTGACACTGTTTGTTTTTACAACGAAAGGATAATTTGCAGCAATTTTTTTTTTGTTTCCCACAAGGAAGGCAGATACATAAAAGAATAATTGTAATTAATGTTTGAATATACATTACCAGCACCAGGGATGATCCATAGGTTATTGAGCCACTATACAGAAATGTGTAATTTCCTGGAGCTTCATCTTGATTCATAACAAACGTGTTATCTAAATCAGGTTAATCTAATCCCAGACTCAGGGAATACATTAAGAATGGTCAGGAGATACTACACTGGTCTCTGAGACAAGAGAAGTTCTTTCAAAGAAAAGGTTACCTCACCTGCACATAGGATGTAAGAGGTAGGTGTGTCCTTTTCTAGAACTTGTAGCTTCTGGATTGTATACATCTAGTTGCTGTTTTCAGGCCTCAGATAGATGACTCTGAAGGCAGCAAAGACTCACAATTGAGAAACCCAGACCTATGATCCATTGTTGAATCCCTAAGTGAACTTCCCAGGTGCCATCTCAATATGTGGAACTAATTATAAGAAATCATTATGGCCTCTTGTTTAGAAAGACTAATTTTCTTTTAGTTGTGGGTAAATTATCCAATGTGGAACATTCATGTATGGTTGATTTTTTTTAATCCTATGGCTTCAGCGGCAACTTCAAAAATAATAGTTTTTTTTTTTGTTGTTGTTGTTGTTTTTTAGTAGAAAGAACTTCATACCCCAAAACATAGCATTCCACTTCTAGGCCTGACCACAACTTTTGTGTATGACACTAAACTTGGTCATTTGACAAGTCAGGGGCTGACTTTAGAGGATGAATCATACCAAACCATAGAACATGCAAATATACTATTTTTTTCCATTATCTACTTTCCAAATTTCCTATAAGAACTTATTCAGACTAACTTTAGCATCAGCTCAAATTCTTGATTACTATTTCTAGAAATTGTTAAAACAAGAATAACAGAGAAAGCAGCAAAGTTAAAAAAAAATCAAGTTTCTTAATAAATTTCACCTAGATTATCTATGTGACTAATTAATTAAAACCTATGTTTATACACAAGGGGACTATTGCAAGTATTTAATGCATATGTATATACACACATTATATATCAATTTCAAGGAAAGAATTGTCATTGGCTTTGTGATATCTTTTCCAAGATCAGTGTTGTGAACACAACAGTTTGTTTTTAAAAAGTTAAGTGATGTTCAAAGTATTTTGTAGCTTGTTGATATTGCATCTGGGGCCCCAAGACTACCCTCACATTTGATAATTCCCAAGAAAGACTAAGAACAGTTGTTTTACTCTTTGATAGTGTTTATTACAATGCAAATTTATAGGTTAAAAACAGAAAAGGGAAATGACACACAAGATCAAGTCTAGGAAAAACCTGGGATGTACATCCCACATGTTCAACTCTTAAAGATACGTGGACAGTGTTTAAACATCAGAAACAACTCGGAACAACGTGTATGGAGTGTTGCCGACCGGGGAAGCTTATGTATGGCTTGGTGTTCAGAGTTTCTATTGTGGGTCACTCACAAAAGCATGGAGGTCCTACATCATTGAGTTTCTCTGACTGGTTTCCCACTCCTGTAGTGATCAAGGTGATATAGCATTGACCTACAACCCCAGACATGCAAAAAATAAATACATATATAGAGAAAAGAAAGACTTCCAGCATTAATTACATGATTAGCATGATCTAGTTTGCATAATTGAAGGTATCAAGTTTCAAAGATATCATTATCAGTCATGATATTCAATGGCTCTTATGTGCCAGTCCTTTCTTCAGAATATTCAAGGTTGGAGTACCCAAGTTTGCTCAGTTAACTTTGTTACTCAGATATTTGGGTAAATATTGAATTTTGGTATTATGACAAATGGTACACAATTAGAAAAACAACATATTCTATAATAATACACTGAAACCAAAAAAAATTATCCCCAAGACATTCTGTCAAAGAGAATGGGCTAAAATAAAACTCATACTTTTGAAATAAAGCTTGAACTAGACATTATAAATATATGAAATAGAGTAAGGTTCAACTTGAATTTACATTTTCTTGTTTTCACTAACTCATTGGTGAAAAAATAAACTATGAAATGCTGAATGTTTTGTGATGGAAGATAAAATTAGAAAGATATAGAGTAGGATTTTTCTAAAGAATTTGTAATAATCCTTAAACACAGAAAGATGACTTTATTTCATCTACAAGGCATTCATTCACATTTGGCAAGAGTCAGCAGCCTGTCTGTTGCAGGGCAGGACCCTAGACCAGCCCAGGCACTCCCAATCACAGGAAGCTTGCTGCTTCTTTAAGCTTGGTGTATGTGTAGCTTTAAATTAACCTTTTCACACATGCCACATTATCTTCTGATTATATGGGAGCACCATGATGTTGAATTTAGAATATAAAGCAGAAAATCAGGAGACTTTCAAAGCACAGTGAGAGGTTCTCCGTAACAATGGGCCAGTTTTCTTCTTTTCCTTTTTTTTATGGCTCAATGAACCTAAATAAACAATGAGACTGAGAAAAGAATGTTGAATGTTTATCAAAAATAAGATACAAATGTTAAAAACAGGTATCCTGAGACTTAGCCCCTCCTGTAACTGTCATAGGCATATTTGAAAGTAACTATTTCTTTGTGGTTGTTTAAATATGTATGATCAAATTAGTCTAGTATTTTCCTCTCATTTTATTTTCAGTTTCCTCTGTATCCTACATGAATAATGAATGATTAATTTTAATAACAGCAGGAGAAACAAAAATAGTGCAATAGAACTAATATGTGGAAAGAACAGAGTTTTTATTCATATACAACTATATGAACACTCAGACATATGATACACTACAGATTTACATTTTCTCCTGTGTAGCCAAAACAAACTGAGTGTTCTAGTAATAAATAAATAACTATTTTTTTTTTTTACCTTTGCCAACTACATGGTTGGAAAATTCATGTTAGTCCTTTGAGAGTTAGCTGTTTTCTCCTGTTGAGATTATAAATGCGGGGGTTGGATCAAGTGGCTGCTATTAAAATGCCTATTGTGCCACCTCTTGTCCCTTTTAAGGATAGGTTAATCTGCTAAATGATTCTAATCCTTGCATGCCATATTTGATGCCCTGGACCTTTTCTACTTCTCTCCCCGCAAGCACATAATGCTTAGCTAGTTAGGAGGAAGGTCCTAATGCTTCTACAATATGTCCAATTGCACTATCTGAAACCTCCAGATTCTGCACTGTCTTTAGGATTACAAATCTCCCATCAGCGCACAATCCACTGCTCACTGTCACATTCTTCAACCTTCGTTTCTTTCATGCCCTCCCTCTCCGTAAAGATTTGCTTAATCTGATTTGATGGAAATTAACACAGAGGTTCCTACTCAGTGTCAGAGCTTGGTAATGCCTGAATTCTTAAAACTCAAAGAATTGTTTCAACAATGTCCTGATGGAGAAAAGAAAAGAAATAATTTCTACAACAACAACAAAGACAATGGTAAATTAGATTATTCACAATTTACCTGTTACATAGGAATGTGGCAAAATTTTCCAGCCTTAAATATCTTAGATCATAAATATAACCTTTGTATTGACTGTGTTATGTCTTAATATTGCATTTAAGTCATGGGTTTTATGGAATTTTGCCTAAAATGTCAAACCTGATAGAATTAGTTTTTCTATACTCATTGTTTAACATGTTTGTGTTAAACTTCTTTTAAGAGTAACTTAAAAGGGTACAGAGAGAATTTGGAAATTGTCTGACTTTGACATGAATTTGCTCTGTTTTACTGCAATTCACTTAACTTATTTGAGCCATTATATATATTAC